ATATAAAAGTATACTGAATATGTTTGGTTCGGCTTGGCTTGTTTATCATTTTTCATGATGAGACCAATATTATAATTTGTGAACAGAGATAATTTTCCATTTTCCGACCAATAAGCATCTTTCAATTAACGCAATTCATTAAGCGTATTAGGGTCAATATAAGTGTTTTGTGTAAGACTTCTTTAATCTATTCTATTACACACACACACACACACACACATATATATATATATAGAAGCGATCAAATAAAAACCACCCTTATTTGTACAAACTGTACAAATCACCCTCATACGTCGATTTTATTGTTTAATCTTATGAAATTTTTTCATGAAATTGTTTAATCTTGTGAAATTGTTTCATATAATACTTTTTTTATGAATTTGTTTCATATATGTTTATGAAATTGTTTCATATAATATTTAATGAAATTTTAATGAAAATGTTTCATATATTTCTCTAAAATTAAAATAATGAAGATGATAATATCCATGATTAACACTCTCCACAATAAAAATGGTTAATCAACCTCTCATAATTACAAAAAATGAACAAAATGAAAAATTATGATTGATTGAATGTGGTTTGTACGGTTTGTACAAATTGAGTGGTTTTTAAATAAGGTCAGGTTCGGGGGAAAACCACAAAAAAAATGAAAAACTAAGGAACATATTGATAACCTTTCATCTGGACGGTATGCACTTGTGCATATTGGTCATTTTAAGAAATTTGTCCAGTATACACTTATGCATGATATGCACACGTGCATAAAAACCAAAAAACAAATTCAATTACCAACATACACATGTGCATACCATCCACATGTGCTGTTATCGGGACGTTCCTCAGCATTTCATTTTTTTGAGACTTTCCCCTGAACCTCCCTCTCTCTCTCTCTCTCTGAGAACAATGTCAAAATAAGATGACACAATAACACAATAACTACTAGAGTATGTATTAAACCATATATGATTATGAAACACGGTCAATGCATAGGTGAACGTGTGACTTGAATTGCAGCCAAGGTCACGTGTAATAGTATGATTTTACACGTGAGTTTAATGTAAAATCACATGTGATTTAGCCATTCTCGTATATCTTATTTGATCATTGTTCTTGTTCGAAAAGAAAAAAAACGATTTACCATAGTTAATTAAAATTTAATATTGTTTTGTTACAAAATACTACGTTAACATTTGATTTATCCATAGATATAAATGAGTGCCATTATCCGGAGATGTTTCCATGTCATGGAACTTGCATTAATACTCTTGGAAATTACACATGCGAATGTGGACGAGGGTATTCTGGTGATGCCAAAATTCGAGATGGTTGTCGACGTAAACCGTATCACCCTCTCTGGTTATATATAGGTAATTCTTCCTTATTGGTCGTTTACCTAAACACTTACCCGATAAGCACTTACCCGATAAGCACTTACCGGTAAAATGCAACACAAATGATTACTTACCGGGTAAAATTTTATTCACTAAAACGCATCGTATGCAACAATTTATCCCGGTAAGCGCTAACCAAGGTAAGACAATATATGTTTGGAAGGGGGGGGGGGGAGTTATATAAATATTTGACAAAAACTTTAAAAACAATTTTTAAGTATAAAGTATTGCGTATTGATGCATATTACTTAAAATTCAAGATTACACGTAAATTATGCATAAGTACGACTTATTAGATCTTCATGTTTATATTCGTATAACTAACTGCATATAAACGTAATCAAATACAAGATAAAATTCTTATTTTGAATATAAAAATATAATTAGGATAATTATATATTGAGTTCTAACAGAATATGTAATTATAATCTTTATAAAAATTATATTATTAAACCAAAAATAAATTACTTCGGTATTAAACCTAATAAATTATAATAAAAAATTGAATTAAAGAAATTACACAAAAAAAACTACAACTTTATATCTTTTTTTCAAATTTTTATGTTAATTTCGAATTTATATTTTATTCAAAAATAAAAAAATTATTGATTTTCTCAAACCACATAAAACCGTATTATAACATCGACAAAGACAAAGAACAAAACGAAATATTAAAATCGAGATACATCTCGCTTCATTGCACGAGTATGCTTCTACTTTTACAAAATGAAACATAATATTAACTAACAACGACTTTTTCCTAATCCTCAAAGTATTTTAAGAAAATTATATATGCTTCCTTATAGATTTATATCTTTCACATCAATGAGGCAACAACTTAACTATTGGCACTCGAGATACAAGTAGATCCAATTTTCTTAGCCTATGATTTTCTTTCTACTACTTGTTGGTTTTATATATCACGTTCAATTCTTTCTATGGCACACTTTTAAACCAAAGATGTCAAGTAATGGTAATTAATATGCCCACAATCACATATAGGTGTGGGTTCTGGATTGCTTGTAGTGCTGATTGTATTATCGGTGTCGTACTTCACGGCCAAGAAAAAGAAGCTAGTTAAGCAAAGAGAGAAATGTTTCAAGCAAAATGGGGGTGTGCTATTGGAAGAGAAATTGAAAACTATGGGTGGCATCAGTGTCAGTTGCATGAAAATTTTCCACGTTGGAGAGCTAGAAGAAGCGACTGATAAGTATGCAGAACATAAGATTCTTGGTAGAGGAGGCAACGGCATCGTGTACAAGGGAAATCTGCTAGATAATCGTGTTGTCGCAATCAAGAAGTCCCAAAGATTGGATCAAAGACAAAGGGAGCAATTCATAAATGAAATGGTAATTCTTACACAAATCAATCACCAAAATGTGGTGCAGCTTTTGGGATGTTGTTTGGAAACTGATGTTCCGTTGCTAGTTTATGAATTTGTCTCTAATGGCACTCTTCATCATCACATCCATAATAGAAAGAGTGGTGTAGAGAGATTGTCTTGGGATAGTCGTCTAAGGATAGCACATGAATCGGCAAGTGCTCTTGCTTATCTTCATAGTGATGCAAGAATGTCAATTATACATAGAGATGTGAAGTCTAGTAACATCCTATTGGATGAGAGTTACACTGCAAAAATTGCAGATTTTGGTGCGTCAAGGTTAATCCTCTTAGATGACCATGATCAAGTCACTACACTTGTTCAAGGGACGTTGGGATACTTGGATCCTGAATATTTGCGTACAGGCCAACTAACAGATAAGAGTGATGTATATAGCTTCGGAGTGGTTCTTGCAGAACTCCTTACAGGAAAAAAGCCCATTGCTACGAATAGATGCCTAGCAGAGCAAACTCTTGCAGCATATTTTGAAAAGGCAATGAAGGAAAATCGAATGCTTGAAATTCTTGAATTTGAATTGGTAAAGGAGGCAACTGATGAGCAGCTAAAAGCAACATGTGACCTGACATGTAAATGTCTTAACCAATTAGGTGAGAACCGGCCCAGCATGAAAAAAGTGGCAATACAACTTGAGACATTGAGGAAGATTCGCAAGCATCCTTGGGTTAGCCAAGTTAACTACAATGAAATGAGTAGCTTAATGCTTGAAAATGAACCAAATGATCTTTACGAAGTTCCTCTT